CAAACCCTCATAAATGTTTTAAGTATCCATTTGGATTATTAATAACCTGAATTTCTCCCTCCATGATATGTATGGAATAAGAATGAATACTGGTATAAAACTTCAAGGGATTTCAGAGTCCTAGAAACACAGAGTCCTAGAAACACGGAGTCCAGCAGAACACCTGAACTTGTCAACAGAATAAACTGAAGCCCCCCCAAAATTCAGAGGTTTGGCCACACTCAACAAGAGACGAAAAAGTATTCATTTGAAGAATTAAGTACCAAAAATGATGTCAAATATACCAATAAGACAACCCAGAGCATAATTTCCCAAGATTATGAAACCTCTCAACCTTAGCTTCAGCATAACACTTTCAAAATTCCCCACACCCAGTCCTGCATTAGTAGGACATAGGTGGACCAGGCCATCTATATTTTGAAAAATTCTAGAGGTTATTCTAAGGAACACCGAGGACTGTCAACCACTGAGAAAAAACAAAGATTGGCAGGCTCTAGGTTCCTAATCCACATCATTACCTCCTCCCATGGAGACCTATTTACATAAATTATTTCATCCAAAAACATTTTAAACATTTTTTAAAATAAGAAAAATTTGTTCTCTACGAATTCAAAATCATTTTAAGAAGATTTTCTGTTTCTACAAAATATGTAAAAGAATGTATTAATCACAAAAAATAGTTTCTTCATGCTGCTTCTAGAGGAAAGTAGAAGCCAATGAAAAACTTATTTTATCCATTTATAAACATGAAGTCTAGCATTACCCATTACACACACTGAATTAAACTGGATCAGGAAACAGATTTTAAACATGAAAATAAGAAATGTTCAGTAAGTAACTAGCTTCTAATAATAAAATGATTTTAACTTTTTAGCCTGTTTCCAATTTAGTTTTATAGACTTAAATATCATGGAAGGGGCAACTAACAGTAGAAATTGTTGTGAGCAGGGCTTGCTTTACTTTCCGAATAAGTGAACGGTTCTGTTATACCTTAAGTCTATACCATAATCAGGTATGTAGTGAGGCCTAAATTTAAATAACATCTTCCATACAAAGTTGTTGTGTCTATACTTGGCAATGTGCCAGCTGCTATAAGGCACTTAGAACACATTGCCACACAAATCATATAGCTGTGTGCACAGGTTTGTACCTGATACACAGTTGCTTCTGTCTGAGCATTCAGAAAGGTCAAACAGGATAACTTCTCATACCTATAAAAAAATGAACTCACAAGTGTCTCTGTAAGACATTTTTTAGAAGTCAATTTATTGAGATATACTCACATGTAATAAAATGCACCCATTTTAAGTGCATTTTGATGAGTTGTGAAAAACTCCACTAAAGGCACCACCACTGCAATCAACATAGAGAACACTTACTCTATTGCAAAAATTCCTTCGTGTCCCTTTGCAGTCAATCTCCAACCCAGGTACACGGCAAACAACACGGGCTTTCTGTCAATATAGCTTAAGATTTGTCCATTCTAGAATTTCAAATAGAATCACACAGCATGTAGTCTTTTCTCTCTGGTTTCCTTTGTTTTCACCAACATAAATTTTTTGAGATTCATCTGTGTTACTGCATGTAATGATCATTTCTTAAGGTACTATTGCACTGCATAGGTATAAAATAATTTGCTTATTCATTCACATTTAAATGAAAATTTGAGTTATGATTTTTGGTTACTATAAATAAGACTTATAAACCTCTATATACATGTCTTTATGTGGACTTATGCTTTTATTTCTCCTGGGCAAATGCCTAGAACTCAGTTGCTGAGTCGCACATGTACATGTTTGACTTCATTTAAAAATGCCAGATTGAAAAAAATAATAAGAAGGCCAAATTGTTTACCAAACAGCTTATATCATTTTTACATCCACCTTCCACCTGAGGCACAGTATCAGAGCTTAAATTGTTCCACATGCTTGTCAACACTTGTTATTGTCAGTCTTTTTAATCTTGGCCAATGCAAGAAGAAAAAGTAGAAACCAGTGCTTTAAGAATGTTAATCAACAGAAGCATGTTAGTATCTAAGCATTTCATACCATTCAAGAAGCCATTTTGGAAATCCCATGAGAAACACTCACTTCTATGAATGAACTGGAGATTTCTCTCCTTACAGAATTACAACTAAATAACTCAAGAAAGATCATCTTATTTCCCACATGCCCACACCCTTTTTGCATTCCTAGAGAGGATATACAACCCATTCTGAAAATAATGTCTTATGTTCACAGGATTCTACCTCTCAGATTACAAATTCTGCCAGACACTGGAAGGGGGAAGGGAGACATACAAGAAGTAAAAGACATTGCATATCAATGTCTTACATGGCAAGTACTGAAAACTATGATATTCTTCCTTTCCTTAAAGAAAACATTTATGCTGTTTTATAAGGGGTTAAATATGATTTGTAGACATTGCCCTAATTTGGACAGATTTTGCCTGTTCAAAATGGATAGCTAGTTTTCATCAACCAAACCACAAGAGTTGAAAGGCAAGGCCTCCCTAGAAAGCCTAGGTTGTTCACACTCACAGCAGGAAGCACGCTGTCATTTAAGGGCTCTGCTTTCACTTCACAGCCTCCTACGTGAGTTCAGCTACAAAGAGGTCATCCTTAGACTGAATAGGAGAAAAGGAGAAACTCAAAATCCAGCTGAGTCTTTTAATGAGGCTGCCATTCCCTCTGCCTGGAATGCTCGCTGCACCAACATCATTCTCTTTTCAGAACCAGTGAAGCAGCTCTGGGTTCTCCCAACCAGGCCAGATTTTCCTTACACATGCCTTCATCTCACTATATTTTTCCTTATTAACTTTTTTACAGTTAATGATTATGTTTATTTTAATGAGTAACTTATTAATGTTCATTGCTCCTTCCCCATGAAACAAGGTAAGTAGGAGTTTTTCTCATAACTGAGCCCCTAGCACCTGGAGTGGTCAGTACATAAAAAGTACTTAATAAACATTTGAGTAATTAATGAATTACTTGATAATAAAAACATTACGTTATCAGAGATGTGACTGATATTCCTCTAAGATTCACGTAAGTTAGGAAACAAAGATAGCTGCTTTTTTTCTCAATTATAATAAAAATCAAACTGCCAAAAACGTTTGGGTGTCAAAGTTGCCTGGCCTTCTCCTGACCTAATTTCTATTAACTCCCATGCTAACATGTCAGATCTATTTTATCAGCCTTTCCTTTCAAAATTCAAATCCATGAAAAGGATGATGCTTTTCAGAACAAAAGACTTTCCTCCTCCATTAGAATGAAACAAAAGAGCAATTCTCATAGCTTCAGACTTTAAATCTGAAGGTCTTGGTAATTTGTTCAGGAAATGCGATTATCCAGTCTTTCTCTCCTAGGGCTGAGGAGATGTTTATGCTGTTTCACTGAGATGAGGCAGTCAAGAGTCCCCATATCACTCTTGCAGACTTCATGATCTGAAATAGGACAACAATAGTACGTGCCTCAAATGCACACAAAACCTCCCTCTTTTGCAGTTATAGGTATATACGAGGAAAATCTCTAGGGGATTCTAGACTGTCCACCTTTTCTTCACCTACCCGTCCCACGAAATCTCAATGAAATATTCAGAGCATAGAGCTAAATAAAATTAAAATCACTGTGTGTCCATGTTCGAGTTATCCCAAACACAAAACAAAATTTATTGTAATACATTTCTATTGTTAGTGATGCAAGCAAAAACTCTCAAATCTAAATTTAAGAATATGAAAATATTTTTAAGACCCAAATCTCATTAATAAAATACTAGCAAGGTATTAGGAAAGAGTACTTCTTCCTTTCATTTAGTCATTAGACATAAATAGCAACCTATTATATGCCAGGCACTATCTGGCACACTAAAGGCATACAAATGTTCTCCAACGATAACCAAATTTTATTAACCTAATCTTTATTTGGGATTAAGAAAGAGAGACCAGTATTTCAAAGTCAGTTCTCTCACATGCATTTAAATTAAGCTTTCTTTTAACCACTGAAAAAGCATTCTTACCAAAGGGCTTTGTTCTCATTTCATTTTATACTAAGATACAATCTTACTATCTTTACATGTTTTTTTCCTAGAAAAAAAAGGCTATCTCTACCTTGAAATAAATTCTGGTGAACTTAAATGACCACAGGCTTATTTTTTTTTTAAGCTAAAAAATGTGTTCAAAAATAAAAGTTTTATTCCTAAGTCACAATTGAAAAAAATTAAAAAATGTTTTAAAAAAAAGATGAATTAGGGCAAGCTTAATCTTTCATTGTCCAGGTACAAGAAATATCAGAAATACTACAAATGCCCCCAGGTGTTCAAATTAGCATCACTCATAACTTCATGGAAAACTTATCCAAGTTTAATCTCAAAAAACTTGCTATGAATCCACAGTAAATTCTACACATCTTCTACAATCACAGACAGAAAGAGAGGGGAGAAAAGAACACAACAATCCAACAAATACTAAGCTGAATAGCACAGATGCCTCTTCCTGACAAGAAACAGCTGTTAGGCAAAGCAATGATCTATGAGCTCAGGCTACTTCCTCACATTCCATAATGTGCCGATATTTATCTTGAGACAAACTATTACTGATTATTGGTAACTGTTAAGAAAAAGAAATTCAGTGAAACTCAGGATGCTAGTTTATCAAAATACCAGCCACTGTTGGAAACAAAAATCCCGGAGGATACCCACATTCTGCCAATGTCCTAGTGAAGGAAGTATGGACAAGCAGCTGTGTCTGCCAAACCCTTTACAGAAGCTCTTAATGAACCAGAAAATACATTAAAATTGAACTTCATCACCCTTCCCACATGAGGCAACCTCACAAGTAGAGGTGCCATGAGTAAGTGGGGAGCAGAGAAGACAACAGAAAAACAAAAGCAGAGTGGAAGAGCAGACCCATACAAAACCTGGGTATGTAACCCTTCTGGGTACTTTAGAATGAACTGTTTTAAAAGAAGAGTTGTTTTAATAATAATGTTTGACTTTCATTACCTGACAGGCAGATGTAAGTTAAGTATTCGCCTTGGCCGCCAGTCGCCAAGAAAGGAATCTTTTTCTTTGTCCTCCTCTTGACCTGGACAGCTCCCAGCATCCTTTCATCAAGAGGTGCAAAAATTTCCTTGCTGATGGCAGATTTGGCACTCATTGTAGAACAGGAGAGGCGGGCACACAGTAAGTTTTCTAAAGGAGAAGAAAGAAAGCAAGTTGGAGTTGAGAATATTGTAAGGCCCCACCTATTTTAAGAATGAGCAGCAAGTTGATTTGCAGGTGAAGAAATTTTCAATTTATGGTTTAACCTCTCGCTTGCTTTAAATGCATTACAAAATCATTAAAAGTGAGGTCTTAGCATTTGTAATAACTATGAAAAACTACAAATAAAAAGAAAATTCTGATTTACTCTTCGGGAATGCCAAACTAAATGTAAGATGATCAGCATGAAATGGGATCTGGAAAGTCTGTCAATCGGTCGCCGAACTGCCTCTCAATTTACCTGGCATGCAGTGCCCAACCCATTTCTATCCTGTAAGGAATGTGGTTTCACATGTCCAGTTGAGAAGTCTTTCCACTGTCCAACAGTCCTTAAAGTCAAGAAGTTCTTTATGCTCCTTCAAAGTCTCCATGAACTCTAATGTAAACCTATTTCCTTAATTCTATTCATAGTGGAAATAATTATATCATCTTGTACATAATACTATCCATGCAACAGAAGACCGTTAATATAATCACCCTTCAACTGCTTCGGCTCAGGCTAAGATTTAACCCCAGGATATTTCTTAGCTTCTATCAATAGGTCCTATTTTCCAATGCTCCTCTGAATCCAGCTGCCATAATCTGGACCCTTGACAAATTCCCCACATTTTCCTTTAGCCAAAATGGACACAGAGTTATACAAGTGTCTGACTAATGCTAAGTATTTTGGAAATGTTATCCAACAGTTCCCATATGTTATGTTCTTGTGGTTAACTGAAAGTGTGTGCCCAATAATTAGTAGTATGTTGCTGACTCACAATGAGCCCCCTTCTACTCCCTCCCCCGCCAAAAAAAACTTACACATATATAATCCCCATGTTATATTTAGTTTTCCCAAAGTTGTACTTCCCTAATGGTTTTAATTCTATTTATTTGTATACATGACATTCAAGGTCAATCTGAATTTTAACTCTATCTTCCAGAAAGCTCAACAGTAACTTGAGTAAATGTTTTCTGTCTTCCTAGTCATAATCTGCACCTTCGTCAATAACCAACATTGGTTCAAGCAATCAATAAATCGAAAGTAATGGTACAGAGAGGGCTTATGGGTTGATTATGCAGGTTATACAGAGTATCCAGAGATCCTACATAAGGATCACTAGCACAGTTATACATATGTGGTAACAGCACTCACAGAGTTGATCAACCTGCTGTAAAATTGAGCCAACTGGTCCTACTAGGTGCTACCTCTATGATCATTAGAAAAATGAGAAATCATTAAAACATGGTCCCTGTTCTCTAGGACTTGATTGCTGACTACATCAAAGGTTTCGCTTAGATCCATATGATTTATGATGAAAGACCAGGGGAACATGCTTCTCAATGCAAGACTCACAAATGTTACCAACATACCTGTCCACCTGTAACCAGACCACATCTATAATCTCATGGTAGAAAAGAGATATATTACAAAAAAAGGAGTGTCCTTTTTTTCTGGTTAAAGAAATTTCTGGTTAAAGAAATTTCTCCTAGTTTCAGTTCTGTAATAAAACAGATATTCTTAGTGGCTCCAAGAATAAAGAATAAAAAGAGTCACCTTTTATTATCTATCTATATCTCTGCTACATATTATAAGCCTATAGCCAGATCTATTTGTATTCCGATCATGACATTTTATCATTGCTACCAGGTTCTTCATCCTGGCTGAGAACAAAATAACAACAATGTAAGGGGACCTGTTTTTCAGTGTACTGACCACTAACGGATTCCTTGTGATTTACTAGAAGTTATCAAATAGAATTTCCCCCACAATTTTCCTAGGTAGGTGTTATAATTGACAGGGACCTTTTCCTTTTCCCCAAAAGAAAGCTAGATCTTTTCCAGCTCCAAGGCCTCTCACCTGTCACCAGTTGGGGAATGTGAAAAAGAAAGCCAGTGATAGCTCTGGCTGGTGTTGTTCAGTGGATTGAGTGCCAGCCTGCAAACCAAAGGATCACTGGTTTGATTCCTAGTCAGGGCACATGCCTGGGTTGTGGGCCAGGTCCCCAGTTGGGGGCATGTGAGAGGCAACCACACACTGATGTTTCTCTCCTTTTCTTTCTCCCTCCCTTCCCCTCTCTAAAATATAAATAAATAAAATCTTTAAAAAAAAAAAGAAGAAAAAGAAAGCCAGTGATAGAGTGACCTTAAATATTCAATAAGCAATGCAGAAAGAAAGTCACATTCCCCAACTCATCAGGTGTTCTCTTACCAGTGCCTTCCCAACTGTGACATGGCTTTTGATTTTCCATCTTGAATTCATACTTTTCTAAAATTATGGGTAAAAAGTAGAAAGCTATCATTTTATTATGTAAAATACATCAGAAAAAAAAGTGACAGGTATGTTTTACTAAATTCTTAGGAAATTCTATTCTTTTTTTGAAAAGCTGGTAAGAAATGAAAATGACCTTTTGTTGGTTATCTTATTTATTCATATATACACATACACATGATACTGATATTCAGTGGCCAAGAACAAAAAAAAAAAACAAAAAAAACACCAGTTACTTCACTGAACTTGGGTTCAAATTTCAGCCCAACAGTATATGATCTCTACGTGACTGGGTAAACTTCTTAAAATTCTAGACTCTCAGCTTACCACCTGCTACATGGAGATATCTTCCCCTCCCTCATGGAACCATTGTAAGAATTAAATGGAACAATGCAAGCAAATAACTTATTTCTGGTGTCTAAATTATAATAAATGGCTAAAAATAAAATTTTTATTAACTCTTCTACTATAATATGAAAAATAAAAGGCCCTCTGAACTTGTATGAAGTGAGTAAATGTAGCCATCCATACCAGAAAGTATTTGTAAAAGAGAAATTCTACTTTTAATTTACCAAAGCCTCGCTTTTCTCATTCATGAATGTGAAACCTTTAAAACTTGGATAAGTGCTCTAAACATATGAAAGGCTCTGTACTAAGTGTTATAAGGATAAGGAGTTTACAGGTGTCACTCTTAGGAAACTCTCTAGGAGGATATTATCCAACTCATTTTTATGGGAAATTGTCAAAATCGTTGTTCAGGACAATGATACAGTGAACAATGAAGGGGCTACATGGCAGGCCTGATGAGCTCAGCGACCTAATGTAACCTCACAGGACGAACTGATTATAAATTCCTAACTGGGCAGGTCATGGTGGGTGCATACCCCAGAACTATAGCTTCCTTAGTAGAAGGTTCACCTTTACCTGTCCATTGTTCTTCCGCATCCAGGCTAGCACACCTTTGAACTTTTAATTCTTTTATTTACGCTAATACATTAAAAGTATAACTCTAAAAAGCAATAACGATATCTGTATGCAAAATAATACCCTGGAATATGATCATTGGTTTTGTTTCTAAATATAAACAAACAAACAAATAATTGAATTAAAAAATTAAACGAAAGATCCCAGAGATTTCTTTGCTTTTTTGTTCTCCACTCCATAATCCACCACCAATGGATTTCACATAACCCTCTTTGTGTTTTCTCATTCAGTTCTGAATCTATAAAAAGAAGTGCCAAGGTACCATTCTTCAGGACGTTTTCTCAGTCCATGGAGATCTTGCTTCAGGTCATATTCTCTGTTTGCTTCACATAAACTCTAATAAACTCTTATAAAACTTTACAATAGGTTTAGATGTTCTTTTGTTGGCAATACTAACAGGCCAGTGCAAAATCACACAGGTGAGCATGTTTTTAATGCCACCCTGGAAATGCGAATGTACAGTGGCTTAGAAAGGAAAGATTCAGAAAAGTTAAAGGGCTGCTATTGTAGCGTGGCAATAATCTATGGGTGTCTCCCAAACCTGATTTCACACCTGAATGCATCATAGAGAGCTTTTCAAAAATTCTGAGCCCCTCCTTCACACCCACCAAATCAGAATCTTGAGGTCTGTGTCTTTAACAACTCTAACTGGTTCTCTTGCAGCCATCCTGACACCTAATTGAAAGTCCATAGCCCAAAGAATAACTGTGGAATAGCAAGGGATGTATTCTCAGGAGAGAATATAGAAAGAAAAAGTAAAGGATTTTCTCTCTATACTCAACCAACCAGCTTTATCAGGTCTTATATCTAACTATCAGTAAATCAACATCCAGCCCAAGACAGGGATCTCACTGTAAGGAAACAAGATGAATTCAACAGCAATGGTGAACCACTGACCATAGTTACTCCAACCTACATCACCCTGAAGAGTAGCAGGACATGCAACCCCAAAATATGCCATTTCAGTGTATTAATCACTTTGAGCTGAAGGCATCTGCACTACAGCATATCTGGGGGAAGCTTTCTCTGAACTTCACTTAACCTGCCTAAAGACAGAGCCTCCAAAAGCAATTCAGATGTCACAGATCCCCTCCCTGAAAGTTTTATCAACCAGAGAAGGTTGAGGTGACTCTTGTCACAGGAGAGAAGACTAGAAGTCAAGACGAGAAGACCAGAAGACCACAGTCCAGAGAAACTTTGTCACAGGTTATTCTACCTCCCCTCTATTCTTCTGAGAGCCCATTCGTCTTTCCTATAAATAATTTACTTTCCCTGAAGAGGTCTAATTCCCTTTCCCCTCTTCCTATTATGATGGTATTTAATCCTAAAATCTAAACTACCTCATGGGTTATCTCCCATGTATACATGAGCCATACCTGTTAATGAAACGTTTGTTTCTCTTTGTTGATTTGTTTTGGGTTACAGGGGTCTCAGCTAAGAACTCAGAAAAGAGGGAAGATGATTTTTCCTCCCCTACAACCCAATGAAAGTTTTTTTCCCTTCCTTGTCCTGTAGAATTATAGCTTCTACAGGCTATAATTACAAAGCTTTCCCATCCAAGAAACCAACCTACAAATGATTTGCAAGTCAAAGCAGCCTTAAGTGGTAGTCGTGGGAATTAATTGCAGTTAGTTTTAATCTTCCTCAAGCGTTTTCATCTATCTGCTTTTTACTTTGAACCATGTAATATAAGTTC